GGTTTGGATGAAGGGATTTTGGGTTTGGATGGAGGGATTTTGGGTTTGGATGGAGGGATTTTGGGTTTGGATGGAGGGATTTTGGGTTTGGATGGAGGGATTTTGGGTTTGGATGGAAGGATTTTGGGTTTGGATGGAGGGATTTTGGGTTTGGATGGAAGGATTTTGGGTTTGGATGGAGGGATATTGAGCTTGGTTATGAATTAATTGAATAATTATGGGTAAAATGGTGATAATTATGGATAAAATAGTGGTAATATTGGATAAAATGATCATTGTAGTCTTGTATAAAAGGAAAATAATATTGTATAAAATGCTAATAATCTTGGATAAAATTATTAATAAATCTTGGATAAAATTATCATAATCTTGCATAAAATAATTAATAAAACTTGGCTAGAATAATTAATATATTTTGGTAAAAATAATCAATAAACCTTGGATGAAATAGTCATAAATAATCATCATAAATAATGATCATAATCATCATAAAATTATAATCTTGGAGAAAATGATGAATACTTCTTGGATAAAATGATAATAATGTTGGATAAAATAATTAATTAACCTCAGATAAAATAATCATCACAATCTTGGATAAAATAATCATCAATCTTGGATAAAATAATCATAATAATCTTGGTAAAATGATTAATAAATCTTGGATAAAATAATTAATAAATCTTGGATAAAATTATCATAATAATCTTGGTAAAATAATCATCCTAATCTTGGATAAAATTATTAATAAATATTGGATAAAATAATTAATAAATCTTGGATAAAATTATAATAATCTTGGTAAAATAATCATCAATCTTGGATAAAATAATCATCGTAATCTTGGATAAAATGATTAATAAATCTTGGATAAAATAATTAATAAATCTTGGATAAAACTATCATAATCTTGGATAAAATTATTAATAAACCTTGAATAAAATAATTAATAAATCTTGGATAAAATTATCATAATCTCGGATAAAACAATCATAATCTTGGATAAAATAACTAATAAATCTTGAATAAAATTACCATAATCTGGGATAAAACAAAACCACCTCATTTCTATGCTCACAGATGGAAGAACCTTATTTTTAACCCACCATCCAGACCATTTCACCCTCCTCAACCACCCATTCTCCCGCCGATGCCAAATCCCTTTTTCCCTTTCCCGCGCAGACATCATCATCCCCGAGAGCGGCGATCCCGTCAGCTCCCGGGACATCAAACGCTGCATCCAGCAGATCCAGGAGCTGATCATCTCCCGCCTCAACCAGGCTGTGGCCAACAAACTCATCAGCTCCGTGGATTATCTGCGGGAGAGCTTCGTGGGGACCCTGGAGCGCTGCCTCAGGAGCCTGGAGGAGTCCTGGGAGGGAGCGGCGCATCCCAGCAGGGCGCCGGAGAAAAGCAGGGATGGCTCCGTGCACATCACCAGCAACTATCTCAAACAGGTCTGGGACACTCCAGGCAAGGAAATCAGGGGGGTCTGGGGTGGTGAAACAGAGATTGTCAAAAATCTGTGTGTAATAATGGAATTACAGCCTAAAACCAGGCGTGGAATAACATAGGAAATCAGTTTTAATCAAATTATGTGCTAAAAACTCTGGAGGAGCCCAGGGATGGGCTCCATCAACATCAACATCACCAGCAACTATCTCAAACAGGTCTGGGACACTCCAGGCAAGGAAATCAGGGGGGTCTGGGGTGGTGAAACAGAGATTGTCAAAAATCTGTGTGTAATAATGGAATTACAGCCTAAAACCAGGCGTGGAATAACATAGGAAATCAGTTTTAATCAAATTATGTGCTAAAAACTCTGGAGGAGCCCAGGGATGGGCTCCATCAACATCAACATCACCAGCAACTATCTCAAACAGGTCTGGGGCGCTCCAGGCAAGGAAATCAGGGGGGTTTGGGGTGGTGAAACAGAGATTGTCAAAAATCTGTGTGTAATAATGGAATTACAGCCTAAAACCAGGCGTGGAATAACATAGGAAATCAATTTTAATCAAATTATGTGCTAAAAACTCTGGAGGAGCCCAGGGATGGGCTCCATCAACATCAACATCACCAGCAACTATCTCAAACAGGTCTGGGGTGCTCCAGGCAAGGAAATCAGGGGGGTTTGGGGTGGTGAAGCAGAGATTTTCCAAAATCTGTATGAAATAATCAAATTACAGCCTAAAAACACCCATAAAATAACACAAGAAATCAATTTTAATCAAATTATGGCCTAAAACCAGCCATAAAGTAACACAAGAAATCAATTAGAATCAAATTATGGCCTAAAAACTGATGAGATAATACAATAAATCAATTCTGTCCTAAATCTGTATGAAATAATCAAATTATGGCCTAAAACTAGCCATGAAATAACACAATAAATCAATTTTAATCAAATTATGGCCTAAAAACACCTATGAGATAGTACAAGAAATCAATTATTTTCTAAATCTATATGAAATAATCAAATTATGGCCTAAAAACACACATAAAATAACACAATAAGTCAATCATCTCCTAAATCTGTACAAAATAATCAAATTATCTCTTAAATCTGTATAAAATAATCAAATTACAGCTTAAAACCACCCACAAAATAATGCAATAAATCAATTATAATCAAATTACAGTCTAGAACCACCCATAAAATAAAAATGTATCAATTTTAATCAAACTACAGCTTAAAACCACCCATAAAATAACACAATAAATCATTATAATCAAATTACAGCCTAAAAACAGCCACAAAATAACACAATAAATCAATTATAATAAAATTACAGCCTAGAACCACCCATAAAATAACGCAATAAATCAATTTACCAAGTGATCATTGGGATATCCCAATTTTTTTCCATTTTCCCAGGCTCTAGCCAAGTTCCTAGCTGTCAGAATTCCCATTTTTTCCCCTCTTTTTCCTGATTTTCCAGATCCTGAACGCAGCCTACCACGTGGAGGTCACGTTCCACTCGGGCTCGACGGTGACCAGGATGCTTTGGGAACAGATCAAACAGGTGGGAAAGCTCGGAAAAGGGAATTTCAGAGGGAAAAAAAATCCTCTCAGCTGCTCCCTGAATTCACTCTTTTATTTTTATTCCCGGAGATTTTTATTCCTGGAGTTTATTCCAGTTATTAAAATAATATTAAATTATTTTAAATAAATTAAATTTTGAAATTGTTTGGAAATTAAATTTTTTTTGAAATTAATTTTTTTGGAAATGAAATTTTTTGGAAATGAAAGCTTTAACAGCCAGAAATTGAAACCAAACCAGAGGGGAGAAGAGTGAATTGTCCTAAATCAAAATCCCACAGCAAACCAAACCTCACAAAGCCAAATAAACCTCATTTCCCAAAAAACCAGGAATTCCCAAATGCTCCAAATCATTTCTTTACTCCTCCAGGACACAAAGAACCCCTTCAAGAGGTATTTGCTTTCAAATACATGTTTAAGAAATACAATTAAATGAAACATTTAATCAATATTATTAAATTAAAATATCATTAAAATAAATATGTTATAAATATCATTAAGTTAAATATGTAATAAATATTATTAAATTAAATACTTGAATATTATTAAATAAAATATGTAATAAATATCATTAAATTAAAAAGGTAATAAATACCATTAAATACTAAAGAAATATTATTGAATCAAGTATTTAGTAAATATTATTAAATTAAAAATATAATAAATATCAAATTAAAGATTGAGTAAACACAAATAAAATATTTAATAAATATTTTAAAATTATTTAATAAACATTATTAAAGATATAATAAATATCATTAAATAAAATATTTATTAAATGTCATTATCAGATGTTTAATAAACACAAAATATTTAATAAATATTACAGTATTAATTATTTAATATCATTAAATCAAATATTGAGTAAATATAATTAAATCAAATATTTAATAAACACAAATATTTAATAAACACTACCAAATTAATTAGTTAATAAATATTATGAATGAATATAATAGTTAATATAATTAATTATTATATAAATTATATAAATTATTTAAATTATTTAAATTCTTTAAATTCTATAAATTAATAAATTCTAATTTATATAAATTATATAAAGTAATATAAATATAATTTAATATCATGAAATCAAATATTTAATAAATATCATTAAATCAAATATTTAATACATATAATTAAGTAAAATAAGTAATAAATATAACTAAATATTATATTTAATCACATATTATTTACACATTAATTATTAATTATTTACACATTAATTATATTTAATCACATATTTAATATGACTCAATTAAATACTGGAGAATTCCAGGCTGGATTGGTCTGGGAAGGACTCGAAGCTCATCCCATCCCATGGACAATCCCAGTCTGCTCCGAGCTCAATCCTTGGGATCCACAGATTCCCTGACCCAGAGCCTGCCCGCCCTGCGAATAAATAACCACCAAATTAAAATAATTAACGAGCTAATTAAGGCGATTCTCCTGCCGAACTGCGCTGCCTTTTCCCAGATAATCCAGCGGCTGACGTGGGTGAGCCCCCCGGCCATCAGCAGCGAGTGGAAGAGGAAGGTGGCCCAGGACGCCATCGAGAGCCTCAGCGCCTCCAAACTGGCCAAGAGCATCTGCAGCCAGTTCCGCACGCGCCTCAACAGCTCCCACGAGGCCTTCGCCTCCTCCCTGCGCCAGGTCCGGGAAATCCTGGGGTCCTGGGACCGGGAATGTGGGCTGGGAATGGAGAAAAGTGCACTGGAACCTGACTGGGGCTGGGAATGTGGGACTGGAACGGAGAAAAGGGCACTGGAACCTGACTGGGGCTGGGAATGTGGGACTGGAACGGAGAAAAGGGCACTGGAACCTGACTGGGGCTGGGAATGTGGGACTGGAACGGAGAAAAGTGCCCAAAAACTCGGGTTGGGGCTGGGAATGTGGGACTGGAACGGAGAAAAGTGCACTGGAACTCAACTGGGGCTGGGAATGTGGGACTGGAATGGAGAAAAGGGCACTGGAACCTGACTGGGGCTGGGAATGTGGGGTTGGAATGGAGAAAAGTGCCCAAAAACTCGGGTTGGGGCTGGGAATGTGGGACTGGAACGGAGAAAAGTGCACTGGAACTCAACTGGGGCTGGGAATGTGGAATTGGGATGGAGAAAAGGGCACAGGAACTCGGGCTGGGGTTGGGAATGTGGGGTTGGGATGGAGAAAAGGGCACAGGAACTCAGGCTGGGGTTGGGAATGTGGGATTTGAACTAAAAAAATCTGCCCAGGAGCTCGGGTTGGGGTTGGGAATGTGGAATTTTAACTGAAAAAGTGCCCAGGAGCTCAGATTTGGGCTGGGAGTGTGAAATTTGAATGGAAAAAGTGCCCAGGAGCTCAGGTTGGGGCTGAGAATGTGGAATTTGAATGGAAAAAGTGCCCAGGAGCTCAGATTTGGGTTGGGAATGTGGAATTTGAATGGAAAAAGTGCCCAGGAGCTGAGCTGTTCCCCGTAGCTGGAGGACGGCCACTCGGGCCGCCTGGAGAGGACCGAGGACCTGTGGCTGAAGGTGAGGAAGGAGCACGCTCCACGCCTGGCCCGCCTCTCCCTGGAGAGCAGATCCCTGCAGGATGTGCTGCTGCACGGTGAGCAGGGAATCTCCTCCCTCCTCCCCAGGGCTCCAGAGGAGTTTGGAATTCCGTTCCGTTTTCCAGCATCGGGTCTGGGGGCTGATTTCCCGGGATTTGTGCCTTGCAGGGAAGCCCAGGCTGGGCAGGGAGCTGGGCCGAGGCCAGTACGGGGTGGTGTACCTGTGTGACAGCTGGGGGGGACACTTCCCCTGCGCCCTCAAATCCGTCGTCCCTCCGGATGAGAAGCACTGGAACGACCTGGCGCTGGAATTCCACTACATGAGGTGTGTGTCCTGAGTGCTTCCCCCCCATTCCACAGGGATCTGATGGATTTCCCGGCTTTATTCAGGCTGGAAAAGCCCCCAGGCTGTGGCTGATGGCGCCTTTGTCTCAGAGCTCTGAGTGCCACATCCAGGTTTGCTTCAGGAATCTGGGATTGGAGCTCCTGGAATGCTCAGCCATTCCCAGCCTGGGCAGGGATGCTCCTTCCTGCCTTAATTGGATTCTCTGCTCCCTGTGCTGTCAGAATTCAGAATAAATCCAAATTTACAGACCTTAAAAAACAGCAATTCTCCTCCCCTGATTGCTGGTGGTGAATCCTCTTTTCCCACCCTTTTTCCTGCCTGAATCCCAAAAAAGCCAGGGGTGGCTCTGCAGTGCAGGGAGCAGCTGCTTCGCTGGAAACAGCTGCAGGCACAGCCAGCTGAGAGAAGAACAGGGGTTTTTTTGTGACTCTAACCTTTAAAAAGGCTTTTTTTTTCTTTTTTTTTTTTGAGTTTAATTGGCTCAGACAGCTGAGGATTGTGCTGCTCTGAGCTGAGCTGGGGATTCTTGCTAAATCTGCAGCTCTGGGGCTTCTTCCCTTGGCTTGGGCTGGACTACAGGGCCAAAAATCATCCCAATTTTGTGTGCTGAACCTTCTGCAGGTCCCTAAAGGGACTCAGGGGCCAAAAATTACCCAAATTTTCTCTGCTGGACATTCTGCAGGTCCCTAAAGGGACTTGGGTCAAAAATTACCCAAATTTTCTCTGATGGACATTCTGCAGGTCCCTAAAGGGACTCAGGGGCCAAAAGTGACCCAAATTTTCTCTGCTTGACATTCTGCAGGTCCCTAAAGGGACTCAGGGGCCAAAAGTGACCCAAATTTTTTCTGCTGGACATTCTGCAGGGACTCTGGGGCTTCTTCCCTTGGCCTGGGCTGGAGGACAGAACCAAAAATCACCCCAATTTTGTGTGCCGAACCTTCTGCAGGTCCCTGCAGGGACTCAGGGACCAAAAATCACCCCAAATTTTCCCTGCTGGACATTCTGCAGGTCCCTAAAGGGACTCAGGGGCCAAAAATCACCCCAAATTTTCTCTGCAGGTCCCTGCAGTCCCACGAGAGGCTGGTGCACCTGCACGGCTCCGTCATCGATTATGGCTACGGAGGAGGCTCCAGCATTGCTGTGCTGCTGATCATGGAGAGGCTGCACAGGGACCTCTACACCGGGCTGAAGGTACCAAATCCTCCTGCTGAATATTTATTTTATATTTATTTTATCCCTGGAAGTGCTGGGAGAGAGCTTGGAGCAACCTGGTTTGAGTGGGAAGTGGGCCCTGCCCATGGGATGAGCTTTAATCTCCCTAATTTAAACCCCAATTTAAAAAAAAATCCCCAATAGTCCATAAAACAAAGCTGGAATTGCTCAATTTTCAGTGTTTTGGTAAAGAACAGTAGGCCAAAGTAACTTTTAGGCATGAAATCTGTGTTTTTTCCCTCAGACTAAACCTGGTTTAGTGAGAAGCGGCCCTGCTTTGGGATGAGTTTTAATCTCCCTAATTTAAAACAATCCCCATTAATCCATAAAACAAAGCTGGAATTGCTCAATTTTCAACATTTTGGTAAAGAAGGGCAGGCCAAAGTAACTTTTAGGCATGAAATCTGTGGTTTTTCCCTCAGACTAAACCTGTTTTAGTGTGTAGTGGCCCTGCCCATGGGATGAGCTTTAATCACCCTCCCAACCCAAAACTCTGATTCTCTAATTAAAACAATCCCCATTAATCCATAAAACAAAGCTGGAATTGCTCAATTTTCAACATTTTGATAAAGAAGGGCAGGCCAAAGTAACTTTTAGGCATGAAATCTGTGGTTTTTCCCTCAGACTAAACCTGTTTTAGTGTGTAGTGGCCCTGCCCATGGGATGAGCTTTAATCACCCTCCCAACCCAAAACTCTGATTCTCTAATTAAAACAATCCCCATTAATCCATAAAACAAAGGTAGAATTCCTTGATTTTCAGCATTTTGATAAAGAAGAGCAGGCCAAAAGCAACTTTTAGGAATAAAATGCACGTTTTTCCCCTCAGGCTGGGCTGGAGTTGGAGCCACGGTTGCAGATTGCCTTGGATGTGGTGGAAGGGATCCGGTACTTGCACAGCCAGGGCTTGGTGCACAGGGATATCAAACTCAAAAACGTCCTGGTAAGGAAAATCCCTGCCTCTGCCTCATCCCAGAGCCTTTTTAGTGGGGAAAAAAAAGAAGATTTAAATGAGGGAATAACTTTCTCCACACGGGGTATTTTAAGCTGTGCTGGTGTCAGCCACAGGGAGGTTTCACTGCCTCCTTTCCTGGCTGGAAGCCTGGGGCAAAGGGAGAAGGGAATGATTCCTTTGGAGTGCAGACAGTTTAAACCATGAGTAGGTTTTCCAGTTCCTGCTTCCCTGAAATCTCAGCCACACCCCTGGTGTGAGAGACAAGCGGTGCCTCCCAGGGGAAAGCCCAAGAGCAGCCAGGAAATCAGAGAAACTGATTTAAAACCAGCTGCCCAGCCCTCCCAGTGGGAATCCATATCAAAAATCAATGTTTTATGGGATAAACGGGCTTCTCACCCACCTGCCTGTGGCTTTTTCCCCAGCTGGACAAAAAGAATCGGGCCAAAATCACGGATTTGGGCTTCTGCAAACCCGAGGCGATGATGTCTGGCAGCATTGTGGGCACCCCCATCCACATGGCTCCCGAGCTCTTCACAGGTAGGATCCCCCTGAATCCACGGCTCTGCCTGGAATTCTGAAGGCAATTCCTTGGAATTCATCCCTCAGTTGCTCCCAAGATCATTCCAGCACCAGAAAATTCCGTTTTTAATGCATGCTGTGGATTTTTCCTGTATTTTAAGTCCGCTCTTGACAGAGAGTAATGGGGTTGATCAGCTCCGCTGAATTAATTAACACCCTTGCAATTAGAAAGGTAAATTGTCATTAGTAGGAAGCTGGCAATCCTTTCTTTTTCATAGGGAAATACTCCAGGAAGTATTCCCTGTAAGGAATTTCCAAGCTGTTATTAACTTGGAGTGAGTTTGGATTCGCTGGGAATTCTGGCAGCTGCTCAGAGGGCTTTTCCTGAGTTTTGGAACCACTTGGAAGTTCAAATCCCAAATTTACCCAAACCTACCCAAATTCTTTTGGTCTGTCAGAGCTGCTCCTGCTTGGATGAGGTTGGGATCAAATGGAAGCATCTCCATTTGTGTGAATTTAGGGAATATCTGGGATATTTCTGGGATGAGAGGCACTGACAGAGCTGAGCTTTACAGGTGTTTAAAATACACCTGAGCTCAGTTTGGGAATTCCTGGTACAACTTAAATTTATAAATCCTGGGAACTGGAAAAGCTTAACCTTGATCCTGCTGCCTTCCTGGTTTCACACAAATTTTACCTTCCTGCCATGAAACTGAGGTTTAAATTTGGGGAAATGCGAGCCTGGAATCACCTCTCAGCCTGCCCAGCTCCCAGGGATTTTTCCCTGCTGATCCCACATGTTTTTTTTCCCAGGGAAATACGACAATTCTGTGGATGTTTATGCCTTTGGGATCCTGTTCTGGTACCTGTGCTCGGGCCACGTGAAGTTACCCGAGGCTTTTGAGAGGTGTGCAAGCAAAGATCACCTGTGGAACAACGTCAGGAGAGGTACCTGGGCTTGGCTCAGCTCTGAAACCCCTCAGCTGCTGGGAAAATCCAGTTTTATTCCGGTGGTGGGGAGGTGAAAGGGAAAAATCCCAGAATCCCTGAAAAGTTGGAGAAGATTTCCAGGAATGAGTCTGAGCTGTGCCCGATGCCCACCCTGAGCCCTGAGTGCCACCTCCAGCTGCCACCTCCAGGGACGGGGACTCCAAACCTCCCTGGGCACTTCCAAGGCCTGGCCGCCCTTTCCATGAGGAAATTCCTGCTGCTGTCCAAGCTGAGCCTCCCCTGGCCCAGCCTGAGGCCGTTCCCTCTCCTCCTGTCCCTGTTCCCTGGGATAACACCCCAAATCCCCCCCGGCTGTCCCCTCCTGGCAGGGACTTGTGCAGAGCCAGGAATTCCCCCTGAGCCTCCTTTTCTCCGGGCTGAGCCTTCCCAGCTCCCTCAGGATTCTCCAAACCCTTCCCAGCTCCCTCAGGATTCTCCAAACCCTTCCCATCTCCCTCAGGATTCTCCAAACCCTTCCCAGCTCCCTCAGGACTCTCCAAACCCTTCCCATCTCCCTCAGGACTCTCCAAACCCTTCCCAGCTCCCTCAGGATTCTCCAAACCCTTCCCAGCTCCCTCAGGATTCTCCAAACCCTTCCCAGCTCCCTCAGGATTCTCCAGTCCCTTTTCCAGCTCCATTCCCTTCCCTGGACATGCTCCAGCCCCAAAACATTCCCCCTGGAGTGGACACAGGGATTGAGGCTCCTCCCCATCCTGAGGGGACAATTCCTGCCCTGCTCCTGCTGCTCCAGCAGTTTTTGATCCCATTTTTAGAGGGATATTCACTGGTCCAACCTGGCCAAGTTCTGCTGGAAGCTGAACTAAAATTCCCAGGATAAAAGAGGTTTTTGGGATCAGCTCCTTCCCAGCAGCACAGGGAATGCTCAGCACGCTCCAACCAGGAGGCAGCACAACCTTGGGATGAAATTCCCAGAGATTTTTGATCCCAAATAGTTGCAAGAAAAGGAGATTCCAGTGGAATTAACCGGGGGAGAGCTGGGGGGGATCAGCCCAGGGAAGAGAAAATTCCAGGGAGATCTCAGAGCTCCTTCCAGGGCCTGGAGGAGCTCAGCAAGGAGGGAGAGGGATTTTTATATGGGATGGAGTGACGGGACCAGAGCTGGTCCAGTAAAAGTGGGAATTTTTGGGAAGCAATTCCTGACTGTGAAGGTGGGCAGGGGCTGGGATGGAATTCCCAGAGAATTTGTGGCTTCTCCATCCCTGGGAGCATCCAGGGCCAGGTTGGAGCAGCCTGGGATGGTGGGAGGTGTCCCCACCCATGGGATTGGATGATCCCTTCCAACCCAAACCATTCCAGGATTCCCTGTGCTGGTTTGGCTGGGATATTGGGAATAAATCCTTCCCTGGAGGGGCTGGGATGGAATTCCCAGAGAATCCGTGGCTGCTCCATCCCTGGGAACGTCCCAGGCCGGGCTGGAGCAGGCTGGGATCACGGAAGGTGTCCGTGCCTATGGAATGGGATGAGTTTAAACCCCCAATTCCATGGATTTGGCCACCCTCTGGAAGCGCCCTGGCTGGAACCGCGCCCCTTTCCCAGGAGCTCCCACCCCTCTGCCCTTTTCCCTTGGATGTCAGCAGCGGGCCGGGCTCTCCCTGGAGGATCCTGGCATTCCCGCTGATCCCGGTGTGTTTCCAGGGGTGCGGCCGGAGCGGCTCCCGGTGTTTGACGAGGAATGCTGGCAGCTGATGGAAGCCTGCTGGGCCGGGGACTCCTCCCAGCGGCCTCTCCTGGGAATCGTGCAGCCCATGCTCCAGGGAATCATGGACAGGCTCTGCCGGGCCGGCTCCCAGCATCCCAACAAAGGCCTGGACGACTCCACCTGAGCGGGAAGCGCGGCAGGATTCGGGAATCGCGGCGGGATTTGGGAATTCCAGCCCCGCCTCGGCCGTGGAGCTCCGAGCCAGCCCCGAGGGGGACAGGGAGGAGCTCGGAGGGGGCTCAGGGGGGTGAAGGCTCCATCCCAATCCCAGCCCTGTATCCCATTGGAATTGTGTGGCCAGGGCATGGAAAATCCCATTGGAATTGCTCGGCCAAGGCATGGAAAATCCCATTGGAATTGCTCGGCCAAGGCATGGAAAATCCAAACCCTTCGGACTCGCTGGAGGCTTCACCAATCCCATCCCAAGCCTCGTGGGCGATCCATGGGATGGGAAAATCCCTTCCCAAAACTCCGGGATAACGATCCCGCTCCTCCCTCAGCCATTGGCAGCGATTCCAGAGCGCTGGGAGAGGAAGGAAAAGGCACAAAACTTTAGGATGAGGAAGTGTTGGGAAGCTCCAAGGAGCTGGAAATGTTTACATGGACAGGAGCAAAGCTTCCGTGTTTTTTCTACGGGGATTTGGAAAACCCCACCTGGATAAGCTATTGATCCCTAATCCCACCTTTTCCTCCTCTTTTTTTTTTTTTTCCCCCCTCTCCTTTGCTTCCTTAAATTCCTTGGAATGGCTGGAGAAACCTTCCCTTGTTTCCACGCTCCGTTCCTCAGAGGTTCCACTTTGGAGCAGCACAAAAAAAGTCCTTAAAATTATCCAATTTATTATTTTTTTTTTTTCCTCCCAGGGAAAGCGCCAAAATTCCTTTTAAAGCAGGATCTGGGGCTTGGAATTCATGGGAATGTCGTGGCAGTTTTAAATTGGGGAATGCACAGGAATATTTTAAAAAATGAGGATTTTCCAGCTTTTTTTTCCAAGTTGGAGGGAAGAAAAATCCTTCCTTCTTCTCCTCAATTTCACTCCAGAGCTGGAATTCGATGGGAAAGAATAAAAAAAAGTGGGGATAGGGGGAGAGGGGGATTTGTCTTTCCCAAATTCCTGGCAATCCCAGTTTGCTTCCTGCATTTTTGGGGTGGAATTGGGCTGATCTGGAGCAGGAAACGCCCCTTGCTGGCTCCATGAGGAACCAGGGAGTTGGGAATTCTCCCTGGAATTCCCAGGGAAGGTGGAATTCCTTGGCTGAAATTCCAGCTGCCCGTGGCCGAGGTTGGGTTTGGTGGGATTGATTTTTTTTTTTCCCTTTCTTTGTGCAATAAATGGATTCAGGAGCTTTTTTATGGAGGAAAAAAAAAAACCAACGAAACTCGGCTTTGTTTTGTTCCTTCCCGGGCATTCCTGGTGGATCCGACCTCTCCTGCCATTCCCAAGTGGGATTTTTTATGGATCCAAACTCCATCTGCCATTCCAGGGTACTTTTTTTATGGATCCATCCTTTCTCCTGGCATTCCAAACTGAGTTTTGGTTGGTTTTTTTTTTTTTTATGGATCCATCCTCTGTCCCATCCCAATCCAGCTGCTCGTGCCAAAAATTCCCAACCCTTTTCCAAAGCCCCGTCCCTCAGGCAGCACCGACCCCAGGAGGGGGGAAAAAAACCTCTGGAAAACCTCTGGAAAAGCGGGAATGGCCCTCGGGATGGCGCAGGGAGGTGTGGAAATAATAAACTGGAATAAAGGCCAAGCTCTGTGTCTGCAATTCCCGAGCTTTTCCTGTGACCCCATCCCACACAATTCCCTGAGGGGTTTCTTTGGGAATTTCCCTGTGGAATCTTTCGGGGGGAATTTTGGGGTGGAATGTGGGAATCTCCAGGGTGTCCCAAGTTTATTTTCTCTGCCGGCCTGGAGTCGGTGTTGGGAGATTCCAGAGCTTTTTATCCTTAAAATCAGGGTTTATTTTATTTTTTATTATTTTTTCTCTATTTTTAATATTTCATTTTACATTTTTATTATTTTATTTTAAAAGCATTTTATTTTGTTCTATTTTTATCTTTATTTTTCTTTATTTTTAATATTTTATTTTATACTTTTATTATTTTGTTTTAAATTTTTTCTTTTATTTTTCTTTTATTTATTTCTTTTTCCCTTTTTTTTCCAAAAGCAGCCAGCTCTATCCAGTAGAAATCCAGGCAATACCCGCAAGGGCCCAGATTCCCCTTGCTATTTTAGCTAATTATTAGAATAATAAGAATTATTTTAATTATTTTAATTATTAGTGCTCCTTTATTAGCGCCCCCTGCGGGTCGCTCCCCGTACCCGGAACCTTTCTGCGCTGCCGCGGGGCCCACCCGGCCCCTTCCGCGCGCCGCGCCGGGGCTGCCCTCCGCGCTGCCTGATCCGCGCCGCCCGTTCCCGTTCCCGTTCCCGCCGCCGCCCCGGGAGCGAGCGGTGCCGCTGCCCGAGCCCGCTGGGAACGGCGGGCGGAGCCGGCCCGGAAGGCGCCGGGAGGCGCTGCGGGGGCGGAGGAAAGGAGCGGCGGTTGGTCAGGCGAACGGCGCGGGGCGGCGCCGGGCAGGGCCCCGCGGGGTCCTTCGGCGACGGGAGCGGAGGGAGCGGGATCGGCGGCGCGATGAACCTGGAGCTGCTCGGTGCGAGCGGGAACGGGAATAGCACCGGGAATGGGGGCGGGAACGGGACCGGGAACGGGGGCGGGAGCGGAGCGGGAATGGGACCGGGAATGGGACCGGGAATGGGACTGGGAATGGGGGCGGGAGTGGAGCGGGAATGGTAGCGGGAACGGGGTGCGAGGGCGGCGCTGCGGGACCGGCAGGTGGCGGGAATGGGAATGGGAATGGGGAGGGAGCTGGGAACGGGGGCGGCGGGGGCGAGCCTGGAGCTGCTCGGTGCGAACGGGATGCGGTGGGAACGGGAAGCGGAGGAGGCGCGGCTGGGAATGGGAATGAGCAGGGAGCGGGGCTGGGCCGAGCCGGGCGGGGCCGGTACCGGCGCGGGTTCGGTACCGGAACGGGTTCGGTACCGGGGCCGCCTCTCGCTCAGCCGCCGCCTTCCCCTTCCTCTGCAGAGTCCTTCGGCCAGAACTACCCCGAGGTAACGGCGCTCCCGGCCCGCAGCCGCCCCCGAGCCCTCCCCGGGCGGCCTGAGCGGCTTCGAGCGGGTCCCACCGGGGCTGGCTGGGTCTGAGAGGGTCCCACCGGGTCCGAGCGGGTCCCACTGGGTCTGGCTGGGTCCCACCGGGTCTGAGCAGGTCTCGGCGAGTCCGAGCTGGGTCTTACCGGGTCTGGCTGGGTCTGAGCAGGTGTCACCGGGTCTGAGCGGGTTCCCCCAGGTCTGGCTGGGTCTGGCTGGGTCCCCCCGGCTCGGGCTGGGTCCCCCCGTGTCTGGCTGGGTCCCACTGGGTCCCCCCCCAGGTCTGGCCGGCTCTGGCCGGTTCTCACGGCCGTGCCCCATTCTCACGGCCGTGCCTTGTTCTCACAGCCGTGCCCGGTTCTCACGGCTCTCTCTGGTTCTCACGGCTGTGCCCGGTTCTCACGGCTGTGCCCGGTTCTCACGGCCGTGTCCGGTTCTCACGGCTGTGTCCGGTTCTCACAGCCGTGCCCCATTCTCACAGCCGTGTCCGGTTCTCACGGCCGTGTCCGGTTCTCACGGCCGTGCCCGGTTCTCACGGCTCTCTCCGGTTCTCACGGCTGTGTCCGGTTCTCACGGCCGTGCCCGGTTCTCACGGCTGTGTCCGGTTCTCACGGCTCTCTCCGGTTCTCACGGCTCTCTCCGGTTCTCACGGCTCTCTCCGGTTCTCACGGCTCTCTCCGGTTCTCACGGCTCTCTCTGGTTCTCACGGCTGTGTCCGGTTCTCACGGCCGTGTCCGGTCCCCGCTGTCCCGGCAGGAGGCTGACGGGACCCTGGACTGCATCAGCATGGCCCTGACGTGCACCTTCAACCGCTGGGGCACGCTGCTGGCCGTGGGCTGCAACGACGGCAGGATCGTCATCTGGGACTTCCTGACCCGTGGCATCGCCAAGATCATCAGCGCCCACATCCACCCCGTCTGCTCCCTCTGGTGAGCCGGGAATCCTCGGGAATTCCAGGGAATTCCAGCCAGGGAATCCCCAGGGACCGGAATCCTCAGGGAATTCCAGGGAATTCCATCCAGGGAATCCCCAGGGAATTACATCCAGGGAATTCCAGCCAGGGAATCCCCAGGGAATTACATCCAGGGAATTCCATCCAGGGAATCCCCAGGGAATCCCCTGGGAATTCCCGAGCTCCTTTTCCCTTTTAGGGAATAACTATTGGGAATTCCTTGAGCTCCTTTTACCCTTGACCTTTAATGACTTTATTGGGAATTCCCTGAGCCCCATTTAACCCTTCCAAGGAATAACTTCCCTGGGAATTCCCTGAGCTCTTTTTCTCCCCAGCCCCATTTAACCCTTTCAAGGAATAACTCCCCTGGGAATTCCCAAGCTCCTTTCCCCCTTTAAGGAATAACTACTGGGAATTCCCAAGCTCCTTTCCCCCCTGCCCCATTTACCCCTTCCAAGGAATAACTTCCCGGGAATTCCCAAGTTCCTTTCCCCCTTTAAGGAATAACTTCCCTGGGAATTCCTGAGTTCCTTTTCTCCCCTTAAGGAATGACTTTAATGGGAATTCCCTGAGCTTCTTTTCCCACGTTTAAGGAATCACTATTGGGAATTCCTTGAGCTCCTTTTACCCTTGACCTTTAATGACTTTATTGGGAATTCCCTGAGCCCCATTTAACCCTTCCAAGGAATAACTTCCCTGGGAATTCCCTGAGCTCCTTTTACCCCTGACCTTTAATGACTTTATTGGGAATTCCCTGAGCTCCTTTCCACCTAGCCCCATTTACCCCTTCCAAGGAATAACTTCCCCGGGAATTCCCAAGCTCCTTTTCCCCCCAGCCCCATTTACCCCTTCCAAGGAATAACTTCCCGGGAATTCCCTCCCTGTGCCGCAGCTGGAGCCGGGACGGGCACAAGCTGGTGAGTGCCTCCACCGACAACATCGTGTCGCAGTGGGACGTGCTGTCCGGGGACTGCGACCAGCGCTTCCGCTTCCCCTCGCCCATCCTCAAAGTGCAGTACCACCCCCGCGACCAGTAAGTGCCTCCTGCTGCCCCCCCGGCTTTCTGGGATGGCAGGAAATTCCTGGGAATCGGTGTGGGAATGTCTCCTTGGGTGTAAAATCCCTGCGCGAACTCGGAGGAGGGAGGGAGGTTAAAATCCAGCTGAAATTGGTTTTGATGTCTGAGTACGGAAAATGAGGCGGCAAAAACAGGAATATCCTGAATTCCTCGATCCAGCTGGATGTTTTTTATGCTGGAAATCCTTTTCCAGGATATCCTGAATTCCTTGATCCAGCTCAATGCTTGTTTTGCTGGAAATCCTTTTCCAGGATATCCTGAGTTCCTCGATCCAGCTCAATGCTTGTTTTGCTGGAAATCATTTTCTGAGATATCCTGAATTCCTCCATCCAGCTGGATGCTGTTTATGCTGGAAATCCTTTTCCAGGATATCCTGAATTCCTCGATCCAGTTCAATACTTTTATTTCTAGAAATCCTTTTCCAACATATCCTGAATTCCTCAATCCAGCTCAATGTTTTTATGTGGAAATCCTTCTCCAAGATACCTTGAACTCCTCAATCCAGCTGTATTTTTTTTTTCTGGAAACCCTTTTACAGGATACCCTGAATTCCTTGCTCTAGCCCAATGTCTTTTTTGCTGGAAATCCTTTTCCAACATATCCTGAACTCCTCACTCCAGCTGGATATTTTTTATGCTGGAAATCCTGGATACCCTGAATCCCTCACTCCAGCTGAATGTTATTATGCTGGCAATCCTGGATACCCTGAATTCCTCACTCCAGCTAGATATTTTTTATGCTGGAAATCCTGGATACCCTGAATTCCTCACTCCAGCTAGATATTTTTTATGCTGGAAATCCTGGATACCCTGAACTCCTCACTCCAGCTGGATGTTTTTTATGCTGGAAATCCCGGATACCCTGAATTCCTCACTCCAGCTGGATGTTTTTTATGCTGGAAATCCCGGATACCCTGAACTCCTGGACGCTTTTTTGTCGCTCTGCACCTGGAGCTCCCTTTCCAGAGGAAGCCATTCCTGGTTTCCCGTGTTTGGCAGGAACAGGGTGCTGGTGTGTCCCATGAAGTCGGCCCCGGTGATGCTGACGCTCTCCGACTCCAAGCACGTGGTGCTGCCCGTGGACGACGACTCCGACCTCAACGTGGTGGCGTCGTTTGACCGGAGAGGGGAATACATCTACACCGGGAACGCCAAGGGCAAGGTCAGCCCCGCTCCCCGGGCCCCTCCGGGAATTGCCCTCTGGAAAAGGGGAGGGCCTCAGGCTGTGGAAGTGATCAGGGAGGTTTGGGGTGTCCGAGGAATTCCTGGGGGCGCTCGGTGCTCCGGGTGGGGATTGATGGGTGAGGGGCACAGGGATGGGATTTGGGAACAGGTCAGGGGCACAGGAGGGGGTTTGGGAACAGGTCAGGGGCACAGGGATGGGATTTGGGAAGAGATCAGGGGCACAGGAATGGGTTTGGGGAGCAGGAATGGATTTAGGGAAGAGGTGAGGAGCACAGGGATGGATTTAGAGAACAGATGAGGGGCAGAGGAAGGGGTTTGGGGAACAGGGAGGGGTTTGGGGAACCGGAATGGATTTAGGGAAGAGGTCAGGGGCACAGGGATGGGATTGGAAAGAGGAGAGGGGCACAGGGATGGATTTAGGGAAAAGGTGAGGGGCACAGGGATGGGATTTGTGAACAGGGATGGATTTAGGGAAGAGGTGAGGGGCATGGATGGGGTTTGGGAACAGGAATGGATTTAGGGAAGAGGTCAGGGGCACAGGGATGGGATTGGGAAGAGGAGAGGGGCACAGGGATGGATTTGGGGAGCAGGAATAGATTTAGGGAAGAGGTGAGGGGCACAGCGATGGGATTTGGGGAACAGGAATGGATTTAGAGAAGAGGAGAGGGACACAGGAATGGGTTTGGGAACAGGGATAGGCACAGGGATAGGTTTGGGGAGCAGGAATGGATTTAGGGAGGAGGTGAGGGACACAGGAATGGGATTTGGAAGAGGAGAGGGGCACAGGGATGGGTTTGGGAACAGGGACAGGCACAGGGGTGGGGAACAGGGACAGGTGCAGAGGTGACTGAAGGGTTTGGGGAACAGGTGAGGGATTTCTTGATGATCCTGGAGGGGTTTTCCAACCTCAGGAATTCTGGGATCTTTGTCTGACCCTGTTTTTGACGCGTTTTTGGGATGTTTTCCTGGCGTTTGTGTCTCAGCAGCTCCCGCAGTGTCCCCGGGTGGGCTCCCAGGGCTCTGTTTCAGGTGAAGCCACTGATTGTTCTCTGTCTGCTCAATCTTCAGATCTTGGTCTTAAAAACAGACACTCAGGATCTTGTTGCTTCCTTCAGAGTGACCACAGGGACCAGCAACACCACGGCCATTAAATCCATCGAGTTCGCCCGCAAAGGGAGGTGAGCGCCTCCGGGGCCGATCCCAAACCTGCAGGGAGCTGCTCGCAGCCCCCAGCTCCTCCATGGGATGGGATCTTTAACGGCTTCTCACGGATTCATCCCCATTTTCCTGCAGCTGCTTCCTGATCAACACGGCCGACCGGATCATCCGCGTGTACGACGGGCGGGAGATCCTCACCTGCGGGCGCGACGGCGAGCCCGAGCCCATGCAGAAACTGCAGGACCTGGTCAACAGGTGAGGGAACGGGGAGGGAGTGGGATCAGGGAGGGAACAGGAACAGGGTTTGGGATCAGGGAGGGGTTTGGGATCAGGGAGGGAACAGGGAGGGATTTGGGATCAGAGAGGGGTTTGGGATCAGGGAGGGGTTTGGGATCAGGGAGGGAACAGGGAGGGGTTTGGGATCAGGGAGGGGTTTGGGACCAGGAATGGATTTAGGGAACATGTGAGGGCACAGGGAGAGATTTGGGAACAGGAATGGATTTAGGGAACAGGTGAGGGCACAGGGAGGGATTTGGGGAACAGGGACAGGCACAGGGGTGGGATTTGGGGAACAGGGACAGGCACAGGGGTGGCTGCAGGATTTGGGGAACAGGGACAGGCACAGGCATGGCTGCTTTTCCCTGGCTGCTCAGCCACTGGAAAAGGTTTCCCATGGAATTGTCAGACCCCAAAGGCAGTGGGAGGTTTTGGCACCGAGGGGGATTCTGGGGGCCTGTGCAGGGCTGGGGGTTGGATCAATGATCCCGATGGCTTTTTTTCCACTCGGGATATTCCCTACCCCATGTGGCCGGGTTCCCATCCCACATCCCACGCTAAGGATGCAAATCCTCATCCGGGATTTGGAACAGCTTCAACTCTAAACACAGAGTGGGAGGGAGAGAAAACCTCATCTCCCTGATCCCAAACCAATTCCCTGATCCACGATTTCCCCTGGCTGCAGGACCCCCTGGAAGAAGTGCTGCTTCTCGGGGGACGGCGAGTACATCGTGGCGGGCTCGGCGCGGCAGCACGCGCTCTACATCTGGGAGAAGAGCATCGGCAACCTGGTGAAAATCCTGCACGGAACGCGCGGCGAGCTCCTGCTGGACGTGGCAGTACGGAAACCCCCCGGCTCTCCTCGGGATTTGGGAATGAGGCCCCGTTTCGGCTCATTTTGAGGGGTTTTTGTGTCCTCTGGTTGGTTGCAGTGGCATCCGGTGCGGCCCATCATCGCCTCCATTTCCAGCGGGGTGGTTTCCATATGGGCTCAGAACCAGGTGGTGAGTGAGGCTTTGGGATCGTTCCCTTGGGAATGGCGCCTGCCCTGAGGGATTTTGGTTGCTCCATCCCTGGAGTTGGAGCGATCTGGGATAGGGAGAAGTGTGGGGCTGATGATTCCTTCCAGCCCCCAAAGCATTCCAGGATTCCTGGTGCTGGTTTGGGTGGGATATTGGGAATAAATCCTTCCCAGGGACTGGGAATCCATGGCTGCCCCATCCCTGCGAGTCCCCGAGGTTGGATGGGGCTTGGAACAACCTGGGATCATGGAAAGTGTCCCAGCCCATGGCCGGGGTGGGAATGGGATGATCCCACCCAAACCATTCCATGATTCCATAAAGACTCCCAGTTTCAGCATTCCTGACTCATTCCCAGCTTGGAAATTCCCGGAGAATCCGTGGCTGCCCCATCCCTGGGAGTGTCCCAGGCCAGGCTGGGGCACCCTGGGATGGGGAAATGTCCCTGCCTATGGAATGGGATGGGATTGAAGCTCCCTTTCCACCCAAACCAGTCTGGAATTCCATCATTCCCCACGGACTCATTTTTTGTGTGTTTAAATCCTTGAGGAATACCCATTCCAACACATTTTTGGCTTTTCCTGCTTCATTTTAATTTGTGATTTTGAGCTCAAACTCCAGCTCAGCTTTGGATTCATCCTTAAACTCCATCCCAGGGACATTTTCCATGGAATTACCTCCTCCTGTAATTCCAGGATGTGAACCCTCAGCTGGGGTTTGCCATGTCCACTGCAATATTTAAGGAATATTTTGATGCTGGATTTTCATTGGAATTCATTTATCCAGCCTCTTGTTTTCCATGGACCTAAAGGAGGTTGGATTTTCCGTGCATTTATGGGATTTTTCCTTGATTTTTGGTGTTTTTATGGGATTTCAGTGAGATTGCAGAACAGAATAATTCCGGTTGGAAAAACCTTCCCAGCTCACCAATTCCAGCCATTCCCAGCTCACCAATTCCAGCCATTCCCAACTCAACCAATTCCAGCCATTCCCAGCTCACCAATTCCAGCCATTCCCAGTTCACCAATTCGTTACTCCCAACTCACTGCAATTC